GAGCCTGCAGGAGTCATGGGCGAGGTGTGGGGGGTGGGGTATGTGCTCCGTAATGAGGAAGCTCGGCTTAAAGACACATCCCAGAGGAGGAGATTGTGCTTAAAGACACACCCCAGAGGTGTTTCTGGTCCCAAAAGGCGTTTCTGGTCCCCACCTGTCGTTTTGCTCCTCAGCATGGCTTCCTAAAAACACTGCAGGATTTCTCAAACATGCATGAATGAGTCAGAGCAAGGCTTTGGGCATGTTTTTATGATGGTATAACATTATAACATGATATAAAACTCAAAAAAGTTGATTTTACATGATATTGCCCCTTTACAAAAAATCTAAAATTTACAAAAACCAAAAGACACAGCACACGTCTACTGAATAAGATGAACTTTTTGAGATATAAAAGGCTGAAATAAAAAAAACAGCAGTACAAAAGTACTTAGATTTAAAAAAATCTTAAGAAAACAATACTGTAAATGAATTATAAATGCAGTTTTCAAAATAAGTATTATGTTTTTGGGCACCGTAGTCCAGAGACAATTTTTGTTTTCATGTGATAAAAGACAATAAAGTCATCCTAAACATCAAAAATATTTCATTATTCAAATTCAAGTAATTTCGTAGATATATTCTAATCCTTACTGGCTTTTTGTATTTACTACTAAATAACTGAAAAGTCTTTGTATTCRGTTTCAGTTTAATAAAGACAACCTTTAACACTTTGCTGATTTTTTTTAGCTTAAAGAGTGGTGGTTTCACCCACCTCCACAATAATGAACCCACCTAAAGCGATGAAGTCTTCCTGCTCCCCAGAGTGGGCGAGGCCCAGYGGCCCATTGTAGAGGAGCAGCCCGTTGGCCGACTCGGCCAGGAACTCGATGGAGATGTGGCTCTGGAAGCAGGGCYTGATGGGCGGGAACCAGGCATAACCCTGACCACCGAAGCTGTGCTTGGTCTGCTGGCACTCAGGGCCATCAAACATGGGAGGACACTTACATCTGAGGGACAAAAAAGCTCTTTTTATTCATTAAGACAAGATTTTTAGCCCTGATTTTCCAGTTAAGAGCTTCCATTTCCAAAATGAGCATTTAAATTCACTTCCTGTTAGTGTTTAGTAAATGTTAGACAACCATATGTATGCTACATGTTATCTGTACGCAYTTCTCAAACAGTGATGAAGGAAAAAAAAAGATTTTATAGACAAAATTGTGGTCCTGTTGATGATTTTCTTTTTGACTGTTTATTCTAAACAGAAAAAAAGCACAAAAACAGAAACTGTCACAAAAAAAGTAAAGAAACCTTGAATTCTTMATTAAAACCAACTGAAAAGTATAAACATTTTCTCAGAAACTGACAAAAAAGTCAAAGGAGAGAGAAAAGCAGCTGCTGGGATTTTGCAGCTGAAATATTTTATCTCGTATCCAAACAAATGAAGCTGTGTGACAATTCAAAGTCAGCCTGTGCCTGTGCAGCTGATACTGAGGCGTCAGTGTTTCATGCCTGCAGATGGAATCCACGGAGTCGAACATTAAATCTTTAAAATGTTTGACAGATTTCACTTGAGTTATTCAGTCAAAAAAATGGGAAAAATTCAGCAAACTGCAAATAGTGACTGTTTGAGACAAAGTTAGCTGCCAAGGACAGGCACACTTAAAATATTTTTAGGAGCAAATGGTTTTCTATTAAAAGCAAACTGTTCTTGTTAAAAGCTCTAATTGTTTCAGCACACACTCCAGATAATCCATTGAAAGCTCAGAAAAAAACACACTAAACCAGAATTGTTAAACTCATAATTAAGCTGATCTTGAATAGAGGCTGACTGACTGTTTTCAGATAATTAAAYCCATTTTTAGGAAACCTTCAATAAACCGTAGCTCAGGCATGACTGCGTACTGATTGGCAAAGGACTCCAGAGCTAAATTTATTATTTTTTCTTTTGCAAATTGTAGTGGATTGTGACGTTTAGGAAATACAAATAGTTATATTTATTGGGGAAAAACAAATTTAACTACATAGATACCACAGAGCGGTAGCATATATAACTCCCGAAAGTACGCAAAGCACAAAAGCACCAGAACTAAGAAGTCACCAGAACAGGTTTATTGTTTTGGGTGGGGATCTGGAAGGTGGTGGTGGTGGGGTGGTCATTTGTAGGCCTGATGGATAGCCCTTCATCAGAGTTAAAATAAATAAATAAATAAATAAATAAATAAATAAATAAATAAATAAATAAATCTGAAGCTCCTACGTTGAATAGCCTTTGAATTATGAGCGTTACTGTATGTGCAGACACTGATGGAGCCCCCTCCTCAAACATGGGGTCTATTGTAAAACCGTTGGTGGGCTCAGTGTAGGTCAGACACATCTACATTCCTACCTAAGGTCATGCTGCTAGGTGCATCCTAAAATTTTACTGTTTTGGGTGGGGGTCCTGGCGGTGGGGGGGCCTCATTGGTAGGCATAATGGATAGACCCTCATGGGAGCTAAAAAAAGAAGCTCTTATGTTGAATAGTTTTTGAGTTGTGAGCATTTTTGTATTTCCAGACACCCCCTTTTCAGATGGAGCCCCCTCCTCAAATATGGGGTCTATCATAAAACTGTTGGCTGGCGCAGTKTAGGTCGAACAYTTCTACATTCTTACCAAATTTCACATTGATCTGTGCAGCCGTTTCCGTGCTACGGTTGAGCAAACATCTTGAAAAAAAATTTAAATAAATGAACTGTATGAAAACAATATGACCACCGTTTCGGGTGCGGGGGTCATAAATATCTCAATGAGTTAATAAAAAACTCTAATCATCAATGCTTTTCAGTGCCGCAACTCTATAAAGACAGAACAAAAATTGTTCTTTGATTTCTGGTTTTGCACCTACCGGTATCCCAGAGGTCCGTCCTGGCAGGTGCCTCCGTTGAGGCAGGGGTTGAAGGGATAGGCGGCGCAGGGCAGCCGGACCGCTTCCCGCCCCTTGCAGCCACACTGTGCAGTGAACGAGGCAGACAGCGACACCAGAGAGATGTTACCAGAGCTGAGGGCCACGGGGACTTGGCTGAACGAAATCTCGTTGCTGCAGCCGCCAAGCTGACTGCAGTCTGTGTGAGGACAGTCATCAACTCCCACCTGGGAGATGGACACACCCAACATGGCCTCCAACTGCACAAGATAAAAGAGTGATAAAAACTCAGATAAATATTAGTTTTTCTGAACTAAATTCATGAAGCGTAAATAAAAAAAAGCAAACAACAGGAATACAGAATCGACATTCACTTTATCAAGTTACCTGAAACTGATACAAAAACTGAAGAAAATGATCATGAATAAAAAGAAAACGGTTCACAAATTTGGATAAATTATGTCGAAAATCATCAGTTTTAAACAAAGTTGTCAGAGAATACCAGCGTCTGCTTTTGATCCCCTCTCCAAATGCATCAATGATTCATGAATTTGCTGTTATTTATGCACTTTGGTGCTTTTTTTTTTGTCATTTCATATTTTGCTGTCAGTCACTCTCAGTAAGCAAAAATTACCGGTTTCCCCACTTTTCTCTACTATCTCTCTGCTTTTAATTTATCTTGATGAGTAAGAATTTTCGTCTTTTACCAAGAGGGATTTTCTGTCTTTATCTGAATCTTTTCGAGTTTAAAAATYCAGTTAAAACTCTTATCCAAGGTGCTTTGCACAACCTCCAACTAGGACCCAAAGGTTCTCTTRGATTTCAGTACTTGTTTGGGCATTRTGAAWACAYTTTAAGCTTTTGTATTTCATTGTGTACAGTTTTCTAATGTACCTTTACTGTGACCTAATGTTCTGGTACGGACGTACTTTCATGTAAAAATCTTTTCATTGTCTCAATAACAAAAGGTCAGCTGTAAGTCTGCTCAGAACTAGAATCTATGGAACAATAATCTGTAAATTCAACATGTTCTTCACTGACTCTCCTCCTACACTGTAAGAAGTTTCAAGTCAGTTAAACTTGCAAATGAAAGTCTACCTGCTGCCTTAAAAACACGTTAACGAGGAATATCGTTGTTTAAACTCAGAAGTTAAARTTTAAAAAGTTGATTGCAGTACATTGTATTTGTTGTGTCAACATTTTTTTAAGTTGTCAAAGTTGATTTAACTGTTAATCACTATTTTTTTAACTTAAGAATGTGAGCTGAAACAATTAAAAAGTTAAAMATCATCAACAYGATAAACTTTCTTTAGCTAGTTGAACAAACACACATTTCTGTGTTAATGCAACTCAGTATTTTGAGTTAAAATTATGTGACTTTACATTTTTAGTTAAGACAATTTAAATTCCAAATTTGTTTCAACGTAATGATAGATGGTGTCAAAAAAGGGTAACAGACACCACTTGGTATCAATACACCATATATTTGATATATTTGTACGGAGCCCGCCGGGGGTCAGTGGTGAAAAAAGAAAAACAGCCGCCAGAAATCAGTGCGCACGGATTGCTAAACTGAGAGCACAGATTAGTAATCCGTGCGCACGGATTACTGAACCTTGCGCTCGGTTTTTGCAATCCGTGTGCACGGATTACTAAACTGAGCGCACGGATTACTAATCTGTGCCCTCAGTTTCTGCAATCAGTGCGCGCAGATTGTATC